GGCGGTGGGGGAGGCGGTAGGGGAAGGGCGGTCGACCCCGGGGGAGGCGGTGCGGGAAGGGAAGACGACCCCCCCGGGAGAGGCGTGGGGGGGACGGAAGCCGACCCCGAGAAAGGCGGGGGAGGCGCGGCGGGGAGGAAAACTGCCTCCGGAAGGCCGGCCTCGTCGCAGGCCCGGCCTGCGCTGCTCGGAAGCGAGTGGAGCTGAAGGGAGGAAGCAGCGGCGTCTTGGAGAGAGGTCCAAGGAGCTGAGCTGGGAAGAGAGGGCGACGCGGGGCCGGGGCCGGGCGCAGCGGCGAGGGGCCGGGGACAGACGGCCCCAAGAGAAAGGCCGGCGGGGGCCCCCGGTGGAGAAGCGCCTCCCGCCTCAGCTTCTGCCGGAGAGAGCTCCCCCGCGGCCAACTGCGGGCGGCAGGGAAAAGTGGGCCCCCTCGAGCCTGACGCTTCCACGTCTTCAGGTCCTTCCTGCTTAGGCTGCTTCCTTTTTCTTTTCCACAGACATTTCTGTTTGAGAGAAGGTAATCCTTGGATCCGGTAAGACTGCCCAGAAGAGGAAACGATTCATGTCAGGGGACCACAGAACAAAGGGTCCCTGGAGCAGATGCTTAACATCAGGGGAGACAGGACAAAGGATCCATCAAGCAAACACTCAGCATGGGGGAGACAGGACAATGCGTCCATGGAACCGACTCTTAACATCGGGGGAGACAGGACAAAGCGTCCATGGAGCAAATGCTTAACATCAGGAGACAGAACAAAGGCCCACCAAGCAAACGCTTAACATTGGGGGACACAGGACAGAGGGTCTGGCAGCAAACACTTAACACTGGGGAAAACAGCATAAGGGTCCATAGAACAATTGCTCTTCAAGTGGCTGCCATCCCCAACATCAAGTGATGGCACATCTCTGCCTCAGGACCATTCACGTAGTCAGGATGCTGAAAACACTGAGACATTCCGGGCCATGTGCGCAGGCTCTCACCCCATGGAAGTGGGAACCCAGGCCTGGAGAGCTTTGGAAGAGCTTTCGCTCTCAGTTCTTAGACTCACTCCTCAGCTGGGCACAGTTGCTCACACCTGTGGTACCAGCACTTTGGGAGGCCAAGGTGAGAGGATTGCCTGAGCCCAGGAGTTCAAGACCAGGCTGGGCAACTTGATCAGAACTCATCTCTACAATAAATCAAAAAATTAGCTGGGTGTGTTGGTGCGTGCCTGTGGTTCCAGCTACCTGGAAGGCTGAGGTGGAAGGATCTCCTGAGTCCAGCAAGTCAAGGCTGTGGTGGCTGTGAGCGTGCCACTGTACTCCAGTCTGGCCGACAGAGTGAGACTCCGACTCAAAAAAAAAAAAAGAAGCTGCATGTGAACCAAATTGAATGACAAGTCCTTGAGATATTTTGGATTAGCCTGTAATTTTACCCATGCACATGAGCTTTTTAAAAAAAGGAAGTCTTTTCCCAACTCAGTTGAATTTCAAGTATACACTTGAATAATTAATACTACAGAACATAGGACAAAACATAATACTTACCTGGTTAATTTTTTTTAATTAGGCAAGAAAACTGAAAAAGACCAATAGTGATGAACTAGACCCATCAGATGTTGAAGCCTTGTCTAAAACTACAATAATTATAACAAGTGGGTCAATACAACAGAGCAGATAGTCCAGCAAAGCTCTTAAGAGCTTTGGAGTTTAGTAGCATTTCAATCAACGGGAAGAGAAATATTTGCTAGAGATGCTGGGAAAAGCGAGTGGCCACCCAGAAAAGAATAAGGTTGACTCCCCCTTCTTACTTCATACCAGGATAAATTCTACTTGGATGAAAAATTAAAATATAAAACCACTTAAAGGGAAAAATGTAAAAAGTGTAATCTCTGAATAGGAAAAGCATTTCTAAGCATGATGAAAAAACCAAACAAAACAAAAAGCAGAAACCAAAGATTAAAAATTTGACTGCATTTACAAATCTACATGACAGCCGGACATGGTGGCTCACACCTGTCATCCCAGCACTTTGGGAGGTGGAGGCAAGAGGACTGCCTGAGCCCAAGAATTTGAGACCAGCCTGGGCAACTTGGCAAGACCTCATCTCTACAGTAAATCAAAAAAATTAGCCATATGAAGCCGGGCTCGGTGGCACAGCCTGTAATCCTGCGCCTTTGGGAGGCTGAGGTGAGTGGATTGCCTGAGCCCACGGGTTCAAGACCCACCTGGGCAGCTTGGTGAGACCTCATCTCTACAATAAATCAAAAAATTAGCCAGGCGTAGTAGCGCGCGCCTGTAGTTCCAGCCACTTGGAAGGGTGAGGCGGAAGGATCGCCGGAGCCCAGCAGGTCGAGGCTGCGGTGGCCGGGAGCGGCCACTGAACTCCAGTCTGGGCGACAGAGTGAGACTCCAACTCAAAAAAAAAAAAAAAAAAAGTCTACAACTCACATCATCTGCGGCTGATTTCCCTAACATAGAAAGTTTTCCTTAGATAAATATGAAAAAAGACCAAAATCTCAGTAAAAATGGTAAAAGACATAAATAGAAATACACAGGTTCCATAAGAATATAAAACATGCTCTTCATTCACAGAGAAAGAAATGAGAATTTAAATGTCGCCAATACATCTTTCACCTATCAGACTTGCAAAGATCCAGCATGTGAAGAAGCCAGGCACTGCGGTGCAGGGCAGAACACAGGTGCGGGTCATTATTAGCACAGCGGTGCTACCAACAGGAAACCGCACTGTCCATCCATAAGCGACATGGCTAAGGAAGTTTGGGCACAGCCACATGATGGAATGCTGTCTGCCATAAAAATAAAGACGCTGTTCTTTACGACCTATTTCCAAGGCATAGGCAACATTTTCTGTAGATTTTCTGTAGAGACAAGTTCTCGCTATGTTGCCCAGGCTGGTCTCAAACTGAGGCTGAAACAGTCTTCCTGCCTCGGCCTCTAAAGTGCTGGGATTGCAGGCACCAGCCACCAGCCCCTCCCTGCCTTCCTTCCTGTTTACCATCCAAACACACCACACACAATTTTATGAGCAAAGCAAATACTATCTAGTGTGCTTTTTAATATTCCTAACTGAGTCACTATATTTTTTTGAGTTGGAGTCTTACTCCGTCCAGGCTGGAGTACAGTGGCACACTCATGGCCACCCCAGCATCGACCTGCTGGGCTCCGGCGATCCTTGCGCCTCAGTCTTCCAAGTAGCTGGAACTACAGGTGCACACTACCATGCCCGGCTAATTTTTAATGTATTATAGAGACGAGGTCTCGCCAAGTTGCCCAGGCTGGTCTCAAACCCGTGGGCTCAGGCAATCCACTCGCCTCAGCCTCCCAAAGTGCTGGGAATACAGACTGAGCCACCAAGCCTGGCCTGAGTCACTTTATAATGGATCAAATAAAGTTTTGCATATTTTCATTTCTTTTCTTTTTTTTTTTGAGTTAGAGTCTCACTCTGTTGTTGCCCAGGCTGGAGTGCAGTGGCACGCTCACTGTCATCAGAGACTCAACCTCCTAGGTTCAAGTGCTCTTCACACCGTAGCCTCCCAAGTAGCTGGGACTCCAGGCACGTGCCACCACACCTGGATAAATTTTTGATTTTTTTGTGTTGACAAGGTCTCACAATGCTGCCTAAGCTGATCTCGAACTCCTGGGCTCCAGCAGTCCTTTTGCCTCAGCTTCCAAAAGTGCTGGAATTATAGGTGTGAATCACCACACCTAGCCCATATATTTTATTTTCTCAAGATTTCTTTCCTATGAGTTCTTTCCCATAGAGTCTAAATTCTTTTTTTTTTTTTTTTGAGTTGGAGTCTCACTCTGTCACCCAGACTGGCCGCTCCCGACCACCACAGCCTCGACCTGCTGGGCTCTGGCAATCATTCCGCCTCAGCCTTCTGAGTAGCCGTGCGCTACCATGCCCGGCTAATTTTTTATTTATTGTAGAGATGAGGTCTCGCCAAGTTGCCCAGGCGGGTCTCGAACCCGTGGGCTCAGGCAATCCACTCACCTCAGCCTCCCAAAGGCACGGGATTACAGGCTGAGCCACCAAGCCCGGCTGAGTCTAAATTCTTAAACATTGGAACGTTCACTTCTCTAACCTGGAGACCTCAGAGTCTTATCAGCACTGTTTTGTTCCTTTGCTTTTGAATTTATCTTCCAATTTTTATTTATTTATTTATTTATTTTTATTTTTTTATTTTATTTTTTTTTTGAGTTGGAGTCTCACTCTGTCGCCCAGACTGGAGTGCAGTGGCCGCTCCCCGGCCACCGCAGCCTCGACCTGCTGGGCTCCAGCGATCCTTCCGCCTCAGCCTTCCAAGTAGCCGGAATTACAGGCATGCGCTACCACGCCCGGCTGATTTTTTGATTTATTGTAGAGATGAGGTCTCGCTGCCCAGGTGGGTCTCGAACCCGCGGGCTCAGGCAATCCACTCACCTCAGCCTCCCAAAGGCGCGGGATTACAGGCTGAGCCACCGAGCCCGGCTTCCAATTTTTATTAAGTCACATTTCTCAATTTCTATTATGTTTCTGGCTCTAAGGGCCACAGTATAAAGCAGTATAAACTTTAAGAAATAGTAGGCTGGGCTCAGTGGCTCAGCCTGTATTCCTAGCACTTCAGGAGGCCGAGGCGAGTGGATTGCCTGAGCTCGCAGGTTTAAGACCAGCCTGGGCAACTTGGCAAGCCCTCGTCTCTACAATAAATCAAAACTTAGCTGGGCATGGTAGCATGCGCCTGTAGTTCCGGCTACTTGGAAGGCTGAGGCGGAAGAACTGCCAGAGCCCAGAGGTTGAGGCTGCGGTGGCAAGTGAGATGTGCCATCACCCTCCAGCATGGGCGACAGAGTGAGACTCCGACTCAAAAATAAAAAAAGAAATAGTGGTGGTGAATTTAGATTACTAGCTAGGACTCATCACTAATTTCATGACAATCCTCTTATACAAGGGGGACCCCCCAAAAAATCGAGACCTTTTTTCCAGTGTTTCAAAACAGTTTCTGAACTCGTCAATTCTGAGGCCTTTTAGTGCTCCTGCCATTTTGTTTGTTTGCTTAACCTCTTATACATCAGCAAAACGTTTCCCTTTGAAGACTTTTTTCATCCAGGGAAACAAAAAAATGTTATTTGGAGTGAGATCAGGTGAAAAGGGAGGGTGGGGAATGGGGGTCATACTGTTTTTGGTCAAAAACTGCTGAACACTCAGCGTGGTGTGGGGAAGGACGCTCACAAATCACCCATCATGAAATGACCAAACGCATTGAAAGAATCTCCAAAAAAAGGATCACATGCCAAACACAGCTGATCCATGGATGCCGAGGGGTTCCTAGAACACTTACCTAGGGGGGAAGCCTGTACTGCAAGGGGCTCACCCTCCAAAAGATAATTCTGGTTGTTTTTGGTCCCCCCTTGTATTCCTGAAATGACTTTAGTGTCCTGGGTAACAGTCTGTCCACAAATAAAGCACAGGCCCAGATGTACTGGACAGCTCCCTTTATAGATGGCGACTCTCAGTAATGCAACAACAGCATTTTTAGAAATGTGTGAGTCCTTTCCACCATCGGGGAGTGGACTTCTGCATTACAGGGAATAAGGGGCTACTTTAGCAATGAGTCCCCCTCGCCATCGTGGAAAGATGACACTGTAGTGTCACTTGTTGGTATTGGCACTCACCTGCTCAGCGCCGGCGTCTGGGGGCTCCCCCTGCCAGCTCATGTAGGGCAGGAGGTCTATGTCTTCTTTGGCAATAAATTCAGAGACATTTGGAATATCGGGAAATGGCAACTCATGATCATCCTATATCAAATTATAGTGGGGTTTAATCAATACAGATGCCAACATGTTAAATGATTACTACATCCTAAAGCCTATGGAAGTTGGTTTGGGATATGTGTGTTTGTGTGCAGGACTGGGTCGTGGGTCTCAGGTCACAAGGGTAGGGGCATGGGGGAGAAGGCAGCTGCATGGGTCAAGCCACAGAGGTCACCATACTGGCTCTCTCAAAAGATGAGAAATATCAAAATGGAACAAAATTGTAGAATATCTTAAAAACACACATGGGACTAATTAATAATTGTAACATTAAACATGACAACATCTGCAACTCATTTCAGAACATCACCCTAAGTCCCTCCGTGGACAGGAGGCCACAAGCCAGGGCGTGGCTTGTTACGACCAATCAGAGCAGGACTGACTTTCCCAACGTGAAGGCAGAAATAAAAAAACCCAGCCATGAATTAACAACAATACGTACCCTTTTCTCAACTGCCACGAAGCTTGTAAACTGTGTGATGAGAGAGTTTTCTTTACTGAGTTGAATAATCAGAGACTTCAAGGTTTGTTTTTTCATCTAGGATAGAATAAGATGAATGAAATCATGTCTTGTTTGATTTATTGCTATTTAGCTGTGTCTGACCAATTAAGAGTATTAATGATCTAAAAAGGTGTTTTCCTATGACAGTAAATCATTTTGTTAGTATTTCAAACTAAATATCGATATTTCAAACTAAATATCAAACTTAAGTAACTGAAGTAGCTGACAACATTCCCTGCAAATGCGATCAAGGGACTCAGCCACGTCATGGGAAAAGTCACTCTATTTGTATAGCTCTCTGTAATCTACACAGACCTCACACACACAGTGAGCTTCCTCCCTTCACAGTTCATAGCTCCCATTTAAAAGGTGAGGAACCAGAAACACAGATTAAAGCCGCTGATCCCAGGGTGTGCAGGGAGAACGGTGAAGACACTGGGTGGCCATCTGTCACCAAAAGTGGCCGTTCCCAGGGGTACCCAGGGCCATGCGAGGCACACTGGTACCTTCTCTGGGGATGGCACTGAAGACTGGTGCTCCCACCCTCACTTAAGACCATGGTTCCTGAGAGACCAACAGGACGGCCCTGTGGCCCTGCTGAGTGGCCCCTGTCTGTGGAGGGAGGAAGGTGGGTTTGTCTCTGCTTGTGTCCTTAGGCAGGCCACATACCATCCTGCACCTGGGCCTCTCAGCAGGACAGGAATACTACAGACTCCACATGGGAGGGCTACGCCGTGGGTGTTCTCTGAGCCCAGCTCCAACCTCTTTCTGACGAATCAAATATCACAGAATTCTCAGGAAACCACTGACATCTGCTCTTTCGTTAATTCATTCAACAAACATCTACTGCGCTCCCCACGCTCCAGGCACAATGTCACTGACATGGTGACGTGTGCCCAATACCACCTTCCTATTCTCCATCCAGTGAGGCTGGCCTCGCTTCCTATTTCCATCAAGAAATCAATCTAAGGATGCTCAGGAATGACGTCTAGTGGGTTTTACATGAAAAGAGCGAACCTCGTGACGGGCTTCATCCTCGTGGAGAATGCCATCTTCGTAGTCTCTGATGAGCGCGCGTGCCGTCAGCCTGTGAAGCATCTGTGTTTAGGCAGCAAAGGGAAAGACGCAAGTGGCTTCTCTCTAGGGATTTGCACTGAACATCCTCTTTGAGACTCAATGAAACTTACATATATGCCTTTCACATGTAGTTTGATGAGTTTTAACAGAGGAACAGTCGTGTGGCCACCCCTTAAATGAAGAGTCAGAACATTCCCTGCACCCTAAAAATGTCCCCGGTGCCCCACATGGTTACCTCCAGCCCCAGCACCCCTCTTGTTTTCCTCCCCTAGAGTTTTGCCTTTTCTACAAAAGGCCATGTTGCCAGTTCATTTCAGATCCCAAATTGCCCTTCCATGGTGGGACAAGCTGGCTGCCTGGCGTCCACCCTTGAAAATGTCCTGCGCCCTGAGGCGGGGGCCATATGTTGAGCACCACCAAGTCCCTCTGGTGACTGAGATGTGGGACCAACTGCAGTGGCCACATCAGCTTCTAGTCACCCACCTCAGGGAAAAGGCGCCACTCACAGAGGAAATACAACCACAAAGACTATGATCGGATGGAAAAAGACCTCTTCCCAGGTCAAATTATTTGACACCCCCCCTTAGATCCAATTGTTAAAGCAACATAAAGCTGTCCTTAGGTTCTACCCAAAGGTCACTGGCAAGGAGCAAATCAATAATAATGATTCAATGGCAAAGAATAATACATGTCTGTTATTCATAACAAGCCCCTAGGAACCACACCTGAGCTTTTGTTAATGAGATGCTTTTGGCAAGTCCTAGGGTGGGGACTGATTGGGGGGAACCAGCCATGTGATTAGGGGGCTGGAGCTCCCCCCTCCCCAGAGAGGGGAGAGTTGAACACCAAGGGCCAGGGATCAAGCCACCAAGCCTCTGTATGAGACCCGCATTAGGACCCCAACTGAAGGGGGCTGGGAGCTTCCCAATTGGCATCCACACCCAGGAGGGTGGCACCCAGCACCCCTCCACTCAGGGACAAGCGCTCGCCTGTGTGCCCCTTAATCTGGCTGTTTGTTTCTATCCTTTGTAATATGTCCTTTGTGACACATCAGTAACAGTAAGTGGGCTACTTCCCTGCGTTCTGCGGGCTGTTCAGCAGATGACTGACCCTGGAGAAGGGCTGTAGAAACCAACTTGCAGCCCAGCCAGAAATGTGGGACTGGGGGACCAGCTACTGTGAGTGGTATCTGGAGTGGGGGCGGCCCTTGTCCTGTGGGGTCTGTGCTGACTCTGGGCAGTTGATGTTGGAGTATAATTAAACTGTAGGTTGTGCAGGGGGTAAGAGAGGATGGGTTGAGAAAAATCCTCAGGGCTGGAAACCACAAGTGTGATGAGTAGAGGTGTTTTTTCCTTCAGAATTCATTTGCGGTTCATCCAAAGATGGAAAAAAGCAAACACACCCTCAGTATAGAATATGGTGTACTCTTTCTTTGTTGTTGTTGAAGTAGGAGTCTCACTGTGTCACCCAGGCTGGAGTCAGTGGCATGATTACAGCCACCACAGCCTCAACCTATGGCCTCAGGTAATCCTTCCACCTCAGCCTTCCAAGTAGCTGGAACCAAAGGTGCATGGCACCACACCTGACTACTTTTTAAATTTATTTTTGTGACGAGTCTTGCCAAGTTGCCCATTATGGTCTCAAACCTCTGGATTCAGGCAATTCTCTTGCCTCTGCTTCCCAAAGTGCTAAGATTACAGGCATTATATGGTGTACTCTTAGTCCAAAAGTGCTATCATTAATATTTTTAAATAGTTTATTAAATAGCAGTATTTAACTTCTACTGAGTCATGAACATCTTTGAGACCCTCTCTAGAAAATCTTCATGTATGAAATACCAGATTTAACTACACTTATTCACACTGACACCCGTGTAGATACACCCAGACCCAGGAGCCCCAGATGAAAAACACCTGCATTGGAAATGGAAGGAAGGTGTCTCCATGTGTACAGATAACCTGTCTCCAAACATGTACTGAAATTTCAACAGAGAAAAACAACAGCAAAGGAAGTATACAGAGCATTATACATGGAAATACAAAATCGCAAGTTTCAAACAATGGGTCTGTAGTAAGTTTTGAACCTTACAGTTCCAGTTGTCTTCTGAAGTTCACTAGTTGACACCATTGTACAGAATTCTTTCTCTTGAATCAGTGCACTCAGAGTTGCCTGAAATGGGGAAAAAAGTGATTCCTCATTACCTTTTCTAAAATTTTTGTTTTTATAGACAGGGTCTTGCTCTGTGGTCCAGGCTGGAGTGCAACGGTGCCATCATAGCTCACTGCAGCCTTGTCCTCCAGGCCTCAAGCAATCCTCCTGCCTCAGCCTCCCAAGGTGCTGGGATTACAGGCATGAGCCACCACACCCGGCCTCATTAGCTTTCCTAGTCCATGGTGTCTTGGATGGTTTAGCAGCAATTCTTTCAGTGATGTCCTCTCCCCTTTCTGTGAAAATTAGAAGCCTCCCCAGAACCCCAGCTGAACACCAGCCATGTTTCCAGAAGGACGAAAGCTGCTGGGGAGAAGGAGAAGGAAGAAAAGAGAAAAGAAAGACAACCAGTGTGACACACAGTGTCCTCCAATAACAGGACATCAGCGCCTCCATACCTGAGTGCAGTGAGGGACGAACCCGTAGACCAGGAGCCGGTCATTGTGGAACAAGGAAGGCACCTGGGCAGGGGCCTGCAGGGGCTCGGGCACATCTGAGCTGAGTTGCTGCCATTTGACAGAGACAGAGTGGCAGCTGGGAGCCCGTAACCTGGCCATCTGGTCTTCTATCTGTTTACGGAGAAATTCTTGCTTTCAGTGTTACATCCTAAAATACTTAACACTTAAAGTTTCTATTCTATCCTTTGGGGATTTTGTAGCTCTTTGGCACTTTTTCCCTTCCTAATACAGAGTATTTTTCCCAAAAGATTTTAAATATAATTTATTTTTTTGAGTCAGGGACTCGTTCTCAACCAGGCTGGAGTGCAGTGGCAAGATGATGGCTCACCGCAGCCTCAACCTCCTGGACTCAGGTGATCCTTCTGCCTCAGCCTCCCAAGTAGCTGGGACTACAGATACACACCACCATGCCCCGCTAATTTTTTTTTTTTTGTAGAAACGAGGCCTTGCTATGTTGCCCAGGCTGGTCTCCAACTCCTGGGCTCAAGCAGTCCCGCCTTGGCCTCCCAAAGTGCTGGGATTACAGATGTGAGCCACCAAACCAGGCACCCTAAAATTATGCATTAACTAATTACTAATATGTGTTACTGGCAGGAGTAGATTCCAAGACTCGAATAAACATTTTCCTGAAGAAGATACACAGTAGCCAAACTGCAAGGAAGTGAAGCTCAACACCATCAGTCATTAGGGAAATGCAGGTCCCTAATGAGACACAATGAGATTCTATGCCCAATGTGATGACCATTATTTTTAAAAGAGAGAGAGAGAATGAAAGGAGGGAAGGAGGAAAGGGAAGAAGAGAGGGAGGGAAGAAGAAAGGGAAGGAAGAAAAGAAAAGAAAAGAAAAGCAATGAGTGTTGCTAAGGATGTGGAGAAACTGGAACCTGGTACACTACTGGTAGGAATGTCAATGTGCAGCTTCTGTGGCAGGCAGCATGGCGATCCCTGCAACATCCAAACACGGAATGGCCACATGACCCAACAATCCCACGACTGGGTGCCCAGAACTGAAAGCAGGGACTCAAGGAGACACCTGGACACCAATGCTCACTGCAGCACCGTGCACAGCAACCGCGGGGCAGAAGCAGCCCAAGCCTCCATCGATGACCCGTGGGTGGCCCATACGTGGTGTCCCCACAGCCTTAAAAAGAAGGGGAGTTTGGACTCGTGCAACAGCACGGAGGGACCTTGGGACACTGTGCTCAGTGAAATGAACCAGTTGCAGAAGGACAAATGATGTATGAAGCCGCCTGTATGAGGTACCCGGAACAGGCCAATTTGCAGCAAGAAAGTAGGGCCAAGGTTAGCAGGGGCAGGGCAGGAGGGAATAAGGAGGTAGCACTCAGTGGGTACAGAGCTTCTGTCCCAAAGGGTGACATGTTCTGGAGATGGATGGAGGTGATGGCTGTACAATAGTGTGAGTGTAGCCAACACCACTGGTTATCCACTTAAAGATGGTTAAAAATGGTACATATTGTCACAACAAGGAAATGAATCCCAGCAAGACATATATCACAATTCACTTGTAAGAAATCAGTCCATGACACTGTACAAGACAGTCGCCAAACCCTGAGTCAGGAGAAAGACCTGATTAAGCACCCACAAAGCTCCTGCTCAGTGCCACATGAGGGTCCCTGCTGCAGGGGTTCACACATTTGGTGGCTTTTGCCTCTCTGTAGCCCCCTCTCCACTCCAGGAGACACAGAAGTCACCACCACCTAGACGTGGAGGACAGTGCTTTCACATGCAAGTACAAAACTAGAATCAAGATGATTAGAAAACATACCTGTTTTTTCCAACAATGTTTGGATTTTGCATTGAAATATTCAAAGACTCCAGCACCACACTTGGACAATGTTCTTAAGACATGACGATTTGCTGTGGAACTGATCACATTTCACATGTTTTACTTTTCAAGACATTTTAGAAACATTTTAGAAGAACACATGAGAAATGTTGAAAGGGCTCAAAACTCAGGAGGAGATATGTTACATGAGGGAGAATTTTCTCTTTTGAAGCTGAGGTTAAGGAGATAAAAGGGTAACAATTGGGAACATCTAGAGGCTAATTTATGTTTCCACATATCAGAGGACTTTTTTTTTTTTTTTTTGAGATGGGATCTCACTATGCTGCCCGGGCTGGAGGGCAGCAGCATGATCACGGCTTACCATAGCCTCAACCTCCTGGGCTCAGCTGATCCTCCTGCCTCGGTTTCCCAAGTAGCTGGGACTATAGGCATGTGCCACTATGCCCTGCTAACTTTTTTGTAGAGGTGGGGTCTCGCTATGTTGCCCAGGCTGGTCTCAAACCCCTGACCTCAAGTGATCTTCAGCCTCCGAAAGTGCTGGGATTAAAGGCATGAGCCACATACACAGCCAACTTCCAAACTTTCAAAAGTCCTGCGCAGGCCAACAAAACGCCCCCCATAAGCTGCCTTTTTCACCTGGGGCCTTTTTTTTTTTTTTTTTTTGGAGTCAGAGTCTCACTGTGTCACCCAGGCTGGAGTGCAGTGGCACCGCCATGGCTCACTACAGTCTTGAACACCTGGGCTCAGGTGACGCTTCCACCTTAGCTTGTTGAGTAGCTGGCTACAGGCATGTGCTACCATGCCCGGCTAACTTTTTGATATGTTGTAAAGACGAGGTCTTACTATATTGCCCAGGCTGGTCTTGAACTCCTGGCCTCTGGCAATCCTCCTGCCTCGGCCTCCCAAAGTACTGGGATTACAGGTGCACCACTGTGCCTGGTCTCACCTGGAGTCTTGTGTCCTTCTCTGCAAGCGGGTTCACTTCCCGCTTGCAGAGAAGAACACAAGGACAGAAGGGGCATCCTAGAGCAGCAAATTCTCCGAGACTCACCTGACACCACAGGCAAACAGCCTGGTGTGGGGACGGCCCCTCTTCACAAGCTGTGCTGTCAGGCCCTCATTCTGGAGGTGCCCATCAGACACAAGGAGGATGCTCCGTGCCCCGTGAGAAGGATGCAGCAAGCTTAGGTATCGTAGGGTCTTCCAGAAGTCTGTGTTCCCCATGGTTGGTGCAGCTGACTAGAGGAAGCAAGAAGGGGTTACATCCTGCCGGCTGGGCCTGGGCCAGTGTGTGGCACCATGTACACACGCTCCACCATCCCACGGGGGTTGGAGACAATGCCTTCGTCAGGAATATCCCTTCCCCAGCTGTGCGTCTGTGGAGCAACTAGACTTCATCTTTGTAGTTCATTTTACGCCACACAGTGACTACGACATCACCTGGCACCTATCTGCTGTTTACAGCTCTGGAGAGGTCTTACATCTACGGGAAGAAATGTCCCACCCAAGCATGCGGCTTGCCAGCTTGGATGGAGGCGGCTGGTTGTGCGGGCTCACCTCCCACTTGCAGAGAAGGACACAAGGATAAAAGGGGCATCCTAGAGCTGTTAGTGCTAGCTGCATCTGGGTGGTGGGACCATGGCTGTCTTCTTTCTTTCTACCTTTTTTTTTTTTTTTTTTGAAGTTGGAGTCTCGCTCTGTCACCCAGACTGGAGTGCAGTGGCCGCTCCCAGCCACCGCAGCCTCAACCTGCCGGGCCCCGGCGATCCTTCCGCCTCAGCCTTCCAAGTAGCTGGAACTACAGGCGCGCGCTACCACACCCAGCTAATTTTTGATTTATTGTAGAGATGAAGTCTCACCAAGTTGCCCAGGCAGGTCTCGAACCCGCGGGCTCAGGCAATCCACTCACCTCGGCCTCCCAAAGTGCTGGGATTACAGGCTGAGCCACCAAGCCCGGCCTCTTTCTACTTTTTAAATTTGTCTATTTATGTATATTTGAGTCAGAGTCTCACTCTGTCACCCAGGCTGGAGTGCAGTGGCACACTCATGGCCACCGCAGGCTCAACCTGCTAGGCTCAAGCGATCCTTCCGCTTCAGCCTTCCAAGTAGCTGAAACTACAGATGCATGCTACCACGCCCGGCTAATTCGGCTCTACTTTTTTAATGTCCTGGTTTTCCTTAATGAGTTTACATCACTTTTATTAATGAAATAAAGAGCCTGCCAGCAGTAAAAAACCAAGGGTCAAGGGTGCTTGGGGAGGAGGCCCTGTACTGTCCCACGAAAGCCTGACAGGAAAGGCCCAGAAGAGGTAGGGAGGCTCCAGGACTCACCATGATGAACTCCGCAGGGGCATCACAGTCTGTAATGTCCTTAGGATACGGAAACAGTTCAGTGTAACCTGTGGACGAGGTAGAAGTGAGGTGCTGTTACCGCATCCTCAGCTGACCACTAGTGAGCAAGGCTGCTGCGCGCCACGGCTGCTGTCATAGAGAATACTGTGCGTTCACATGCTCAGCTTCCATCCCAGGCAACGGTATTTGATCATGAGCACATAAGGCATTCACCAGGGCATTCCTCTCCATGATTCCTGTAGTGCACTCCATCTACGCACTGCACCGCGCGAGCATTCTGAGTCAGATTCCTCGTGTAGACCTCTGTTCCGCCTCCATCCTTGTGCAAAGCCAGACGCGGGTGCTGCAATGGCCTGGGCAGCTCGGCCCGTAAGGGCAGTCTCCACCCAGCCCTTGCACTCCTGTGAGCCCTGACCCACCGTGGCAGACCCCAGCTCTGTTGTGAAGGGGCTGGGCCGCCTGCTAGGGTCACAGAAGATGAGGACCAGCAGGACAGGAACATCCCCTCATCCCATCTGAGCTCCTTCTCTCCTCTGTGAAGTGTCACCTTCTGGGAACTGAGAGGTCCCAGACTCTCACCTGGGGGCGGCATTACCTACCTTCTATGGGTGCTGACCCGACGCTCCCTAAGACCACTCCTTACAGATTTCTTTTTTCTTTTTTTGTGAGTTGGGGTCTCACTCTGTTGCCCAGGTTGGAGTGCAGTGGCACAACTATAGCTACTACAGCCTTGACCTGCTGGGCTCAGGCGATCTTTCCCCCTCAGTCTTCTAAGCAGCTGTGACTAAAGTGTACACCACCATACCTGGTTGATTTTTTTATTTATTGTAAGAGATGAGTTCTCACCAAGTTGCCCAGGCTAGGCTCGAGCCTCTGGGTTCAGGCCACTCCTTACAGATATCTGTGACTGTGCTGATTACAAATACTGTCCTTGGCCTCAGGACCCTCCCACTCAACAGCCCGAGGGTCCTGCATTTGGTTCAGTTGGTAATAATAACAATAGTGACATTTATATCTCACCTGCCATGGAACAGGCATTGTTGTAAATCCTTTACCTACATTAGCTCAGTCCTCACAACATTGTGAGTTAGGGACAATTACCTGCAGATTACAGATGGGGAAACTGAGGCAGCAAAAGTTCAAGCAGCCTGTCCCAGGCAACACACAGACCTTGTGAGTGGTCTGCTGGGATCTAGACCTGGGGGTTTAGCTCCAGAGTTCTTGCACTTCGTTCTCATCCTAGGCCACCTCCTACCCAACGTGGAGGGTTGGGCACTGATGGTCATGGGTTCCACTGCGTGCTCACACAGGAGGACGCACATGTGGGACCAGAGCCCAAGCCCACTCACCTGTGCCAAACTGGATGATGTTCACTTTCTGCTTCTCACCCACCAGGGACAGGGCGTACAAGGCAATCTGCTTGGCTTGCAGGAATGTCACACCCTCCATGGAGTTGGAGCAGTCGAGACAAATCACCACCTCGTTCGTGCTGGCAGGCTCGGAGAGGCCAGTGTCGAGGCTGGGTTGGAAGACAAGCATGCAGGCCTGGGAGAAGAGGGGAGGTGGGTGGGCACTTCTTACAACTCCATGGGGAAGAGCTGCCTGGACAGTTCAAAAACTTTTCAGGGAGGCCCATAACGCTATGAAAACAGAAGAATGAGACGCATTCCACACCAAGTGGCCTCCTGGGAGGTCAGATGAGAAGCATCATGTTAAAGTTGGAGTGTGGGCCGAGCACGGTGGCTCAAGTCTGTAATCCCGGCACTTAGGGAGGCCGAGGCAAGAGGATTGCCTAAGCCCAGGGGTTCAAGACCAGCCTGGGCAACATGGTGAGACCTCGTCTCTATAATAAATGAAAAAAATTAGTTGGGCATGGTAATGTGCATCTGTAGTTCCAGTTACTTGAAAGGCTGAGGCCGAAGGATCACTTGAGCCCAGCAGATTGAGGCTGTGGTGGCCATAAGCGTACCCCTGCACTCCAGCCTGGACGACAGAGACTCTAACTAAAACAAAAAACAAAACAAAACAAAAAAAAAACAAACCTGGAGTGTGGCACATAGAAGACATGAACTCCCAGGAGGTCAAGAGTTAATTCAGAATCAGTATCTGAAAAATCACATGGCATCAGCATAGTCTGTGAACAAATATGACTTTTTCTTTTTTTTTTTTGTTTGAGTTGGAGTCTTACTCTGTCACCCAGACTGGAGTGCAGTGGCTGCTCCCGGCCACCGCAGCCTCGCCTGCTGGGCTCCAGTGATCCTTTTGCCTCAGCCTTCCGAGTAGCCGGAATTACAGGCACGCACTACCACGCCCGGCTGATTTTGTGACTTATTGTAGAGATGAGGTCTCACTGCCCAGGCAGGTCTCGAACCCGCGGGCTCAGGCAATCCACTCACCTCAGCCTCCCAAAGGCGCGGGATTACAGGCTGAGCCACCAAGCCCGGCTTCATACTGTTCTAAAGGGAATGAATATACATGCTACTGGGATTGCTAAAACATACATGTGCCTTTGTTTTATTAACCAGTACTTAAAGTACAATTACTGTTACATGTTTCCACTTTTATTTTATTTCTATAAATTTAAAAATAATTTTTATAATTTTTATTAAATTAAATTTTTAAAATTTTTTTGTTTTCTAGAGACGAGTTTTGCTATGTTGCCCAGCCTAGTCTCAAACTCCTGGCCTCACATGATCCTCCTGCCTCAACTTCCCAAAGCGCTAGGATCACAGGTATGACCCATCATGCCTGGCCTCAATTTTTGTAGCTTCAGAAGTGACTCTGTCACAGTCACACAAAATGGTCCCATAGTCAGCCATAAATCACCTTCTACCTGTTTCTTCAATACCAATATTTTATTTTATTTTATTTTATTTATTTATTTATTTTTTAGTTGGAGTCTCACTCAGTCACCCAGACTGGAGTGCAGTGGCCTCTCCCGGCCACTGCAGCCTCGACCTGCTGGGCTCCAGCGATCCTTCCGCCTCAGCCTTCCAAGTAGCTGGAACTACAGGCGCGCGTTACCATGCCTGAGTCATTTTTTATTTATTGTAGAAATGAGGTCTCGCCAAGTTGCCCAGGTGGGTCTCGAACCCGCAGGCTCAGGCAATCTACTCACCTCAGCCTCCCAAAGGCACGGGATTACAGGCTGAGCCACCGAGCCCGGTAATACCAATATTTTAAAAGTATAATAAGTGGGCAACCCTCTTTCAGGTCCCCTCTCGCTTAGGAGCTTTTCTATATTCTTAATAAACTTCCTGCAAAAAAATAAAGATAGAATAAAATAAAAGTATAAAAAGTATACAGACTAACTGAAGTACTGTCTTGGCAGCTGTCCTTTGTGGTGGGGACTGAGGCAAAAATGATGATCTTCACAGGGTCAAAGGCTGAAACTTCAGAAGCTTGTCATGTTGATATCATACGTATATTTAGTGTTTTTTGAGTCTTGGAGTGTGAGCATTCATTTTGTAATGTTAGTTTTCAGGACAACCAATCATTTCTAAGCTTAAGTAACCTGTTTGCTCTGGAATATTTTTCTAGCATTGCCTCCTACTTATAAGTAAGTAACCGGAGCATACCTCGCTTTCTTTTTCCGGATGTTTTTCCACCCACATTCTCGGGAGATAAGCATCTGACAGCTCGATGCGGAGAGAGAATCCACTGCTGTCTAAGGTGCTACCTTCCACAGTGTTGATCACGGCCTTGCAGTCTGTGCGCTGAGGGACAAAGGGCAAACGCCCCGGACAGCAAGTGAGTGACGTCACAAGCCAGCCGTCAGCTGTACCTACCCGTCAGACGGCAGGATGGACACAGCACCACCAGGAATCTACAGTGTGGTAACACATTCTGCTGCCTACTCACTTTCACTTGGGCAGTTAATGGAGGTTGTGCTCTGTCCGCTTGGAATAAATCAAGAAAAAGGATAAAGACAAAAAGCCTGGAAAGGAGAACGGCGACATGAAGGCCTAGGATGCTGGCTGCCTGGCTGTCATGGCCACTGGAGGGGAAGCCAGGAGGAAGGTAGTGGGCAACACAGGAAGTGGATTTTCTGAAGTGTCCAGCAGTGTGGACAGCAGTACTGAGAGAGGTAGTAATGGATGTGTTGAAGCATAAGGACAGAAAGTGCCTAGACGCTAAGCAAATGAAAAAGGCAACTTATTTCTTCTTAGGAAATACTACATAGAAGTTAAAAAGAGAAGAAAACGTCCCCATCACACACTTCTTGGTTCAGTGATCCTGATAATTTAGACACTGACTTGGTGACTCTTTGGGAATGAAGGTGAGAGAAGTGGGGAGGGGTGGGAAGGGCCAGAGCTGAGTTCACCCACTACAACTGGAAGTCAAGACAATTTCTGAAACTGATGAATCAAGGAAAAGCAGTAAAAATTATGATGTAAGACTTGGAGGCAAGGGCAGAGAAACAGCTCAAATATTCCCCGTGGTTCACGGCTATGGAATGGCTTGGGGGCAAGGCAGGGCCAGGACCCACTGGCTGCTTGTTGGAAGTTGCTGTCGGCATTATTAGGCCACGAACATTCATCGCTTTGATTAAATAAAAGTGATGTTAAAATAAGTGCTCTCAACAAATCAGACCAAGACTCACTAACCTTCTGTTTCAGCTCGTGTGTGTCGCTGGAAATGAATTCAATCACGTACGGCATCTCGATAGACATAGTCAGAGAGAAGCTACCAAAAAGGAGGGGAAAGTCGGCTTAGTCTAGTGTCTTGCATTTTTATGTGAAGTTGCTTCAAATACTTTTTTTTTTGAGTTGGAGTCTCACTCTGTAGCCCAGACTGGAGTGCAGTGGCCGCTCCCGGCCACCGCAGCCTCGACCTGCTGGGCTCCGGCTATCCCTCCGCCTCGGCCTTCCGAGTAGCCAGAATTACAGGCATGCGCTACCACGCCCGGCTGATTTTTTGATTTATTGTAGAGATGAGGTCTTGCTGCCCAGGCGGGTCTCGAACCCACGGGCTCAGGCAATCCACTCACCTCGGCCTCCCAAAGCACTGGGATTACAGGCTGAGCCACCTAGCCCGGCCTCAAATACTTTTAAACGCAAATGTGAGTCATAAAACTAATATCCACTGAATGCTTGACAGGCTTTAGATTTTAGGTACTAACCTTTGCTTTACTCCTATTTCCCTTATATAAATCTTCTTTACTGTATCCTGTTAAAAGAAAAATATATTTGTATAACTGATCTCACAATGAGATCTAAACAGAATATAATCTTGCCAAAGCCAACTGACAGCAGCAACAAGACAGAAAGTTTCCCTTCCAAGCAGTGAAACAGAGAATTTGCTCATGGAATGAGGGGGACTTCTAAAATATACCTGACCTTTTGGGTTCTTTTTTAGATTTGGAGTCTCACTCTATCGCCCAGACTGCCTTGTCCTCTGGGGTTCAGGCAATCCTTCTGTCTCAGCCTCCCAAGTAGCTGGAACTACAGGTGCGCAATATCATACTCAGCTAATTATTTTTTGTAGAGACAAGATCTCCTTGTGTTGCCCACACTGATCTTGAACTCCTGGGCTCAAACAACCCTCCTGCCTCATCTTCCAAAGTGCTGGGATCACAGGTGTGAGTCACCATGCCCAGCCCTCAATACATCATTTTGATAGAGATTTTCAAGTCTACATGTCTCTGTGTGTGTATACACATGCACACACATTATACATATGTACTGTGCATACAAAGTAAGAAGTCTGGAAGGATATATATCAGCACATTAAACAGTGGGTATCTCTGGGAGATGGAATTAAGTATGGTTTTAGTTGTGATAAGCATGTAATACAGATACAAAATTTTTCTGAGTAACTGAACATCAGAATAAAAATATTATGTCCACAAAATACTATATGTCATTATATACAATGGGCATCCCTTATTCTTTTTTTTTTTTTTTTTTGAGTTGGAGTCTCACTCTGTCACTTAGACTGGAGTGCAGTGGCCGCTCCCGGCCCG